AAGCGGTAAATCGATAAATAAAACTGTGTTGATCATAGGTAGGGTAGACAGGAAGAAACATTTCCCCCTTATGGAGGCATAAATGAGCGGGCGAAATAAACGTAATGTAAAAGACAGATGTTTCAACGAGATGCAAGGAAAAAAAAAATTGCAGAATCACTTTGTAGAGTCAAACGTGGCTCCCTCACCTTGTATTTACTGATAGTTAATTTTCTCTAATATCCGTGGATAATCTAACAGTTGTCATGGTTATTGAAAATCGGTAAGGTATTATTTGTTGCATCTTGGAATGAAACACAATGAATGCCAAGGCACGGTCATTATTTTGGAGATTTTTAAAGAGGTCCACATTGCTTTGTTTCTCGTTGTCTATGTTCGAATTGTCATTGCACTTCATATGCTCTCCACTGGTAATAAACTGCTTTGAGGCAGCTGCTGAGTGCCTGTTACAGCAGGAGAGCAGGGACAGGATAGAGGTAAATGATACGAATGCCATAGTGCTGAGTGATTATGGTCTTAAAACTTCTGACAGATGTTAGGGAGCAACAGAAAGAAAGCTGAAATAAGAAGAATAGAGCTGGTTATTAAAATGTCAACACCATAATATGTGAGATTTTAAAGTATTTGTCCAAAACACCATGCATGCATCAGACACCAGAAACTGTAACCAATTTTCTTAGAGCCACGCTTCCATAAAGACAGACGAAGGCAGAAAAACTTCAGCAATTGAATCATAAAGCATTGACTGTAGTGGAGACACGGTCGATGGTGGAAGAGAGTGAAGAACCTTTAACAGAAGAACAGGTAGAGGACCTTCAACAGACAATCAATAGCATTCTGCCAGGGGACCCTGATGAGCAAGCTGCAATTCAGCAGGAGGAATAAATAGATATGGCTGCTGAAAAGAAAGGAAACCAACAGATGGAAACTCAACAGAATCTAATCAATACACACCAGTTCTGTTCCGGAAATGTTTTGATGATTGACTTACCCTGGCATTGCTGTTTAAACAGTATTGACTCTCCTTCGATTCAAGAACAGACTAGTCGTAATTTCAGATATTGTTCAAGTATATTCAGTTATATTCCATACAGTGCAGTATGAGGCATAAGTTATGACTGATGAGTATTTATCTTATGGCAAAACTAATGTTTTTACTTTTCAAGTAGTACAAAAACAAAAATCATTAATCACCCATATGTTTACAACGGACTAAATGCATACCTTGCTCACTTACAGTTAGTTTATGAAAGTTTCTTCTGGATTACCTTACAAATTGTCAACTGTACAGAATTGGGGAGGAAATGATTGTTTGTGCATTCTGTAAACACAATAAAAGATTCTATATTGGAAGCTGTATCTTTAAGAAAACCAAAATAACACATCTGGAAAAGAAAAATAAACTACTATGAAATGTTCCAAAATTTTAATAATGCCAATTCAATGAATTATAGTTTTTTTCCTAATTTCCGCAGGGATTTTCCGTCAAATTTTACGGAATGTGGGGGTCTTGTGGCGCGGTGGTAGCAGTCCTGAATAACAGTTGAAGTACATTCTTGCCTCGTGTTGGTCAACTCCACATCTTTGACAAACACAAACGTCCACTCATGCAATTCGGAAAGCTTCACTTCTGCCAGTGCTGCACCCACTTTACTTATTTTCTTCCTTCCTGTCTGTTTAACGCAACTGACTGCGTAGCATTTTGAGTTCAGAGAGAAATTAACAGTTAATCATGTTAGGTGCGACAGAAATTAGTTGCCACGTTGTTTTTCCTTAAAGTCAGCACATTATATTTAAATGTGGTGAGATTTCGAACCTATTTACTCTGTTATATCAATAGTTAAAGACGAGAAAATAACCTCATCAACTTTTATTTGTTCACGCACAGTAGTTAACATAAATGGTGATGTCACTGCTTATGTTTATTCAGTTATTGTAACCTGATACCAATTAGGACATTCTCTAGCTTTGCTTCATGGGATTTAACATCAGCTATAATAACAGATTCTGTGCACGCCAAAATGGAGACTGAGTGAGACCAGGTTCTCCGCTCTGATTTTTTTAAAAAATTGAATATGCACGCCCCACCAACAGGCTTGATATATGCCATTTACTACACTGCACTTGCAGCTACCGCTGTTCCAGGTATGTTTTTCAACAAATTAATCATTATTTGCTGCTGTGTTTCTTTCAATTTCTAAATCGCACTTTAGTTTGACATGTATTTAGGCCTAAGTAATGTATGTAACAAAATGCTGGCTACGTCGATGTGGAAGGGAAAGGACAGCATTGAAGCAGGAAATGTAGATGTCAGTTAAAGGAGATTATTTAGTACAACAACAACAGATTTTATATGTTCATGGAAGATGGGGTGAATGCAATTAGTATTCCAAAGCAATTATAAATAATTATAAAATACATGGGGATGGATTCGATACATTGGCACTATGTGATCCCAATGCCACATAAGATGTCTCTGCTAATTTGCTCTGTCATTTCGTCCTGAAGTAATGTTATAGTAACGTTTCAGCAAGAAGTGGGATTTGTTAGGAGAGGAAGGAGATGATGAAAAATTGTGCTCGGTTGTGTGAGATGAGATCTTCTACTGATGGGCAAGCAAAAGTAGTTCAGCATAACAATATACTTCAAGCTGGGCCATCTTGACTTTCTCTTCTAAAATGTGCGGTGCAATGTGTGAGTGCCTTCCTAGTACAGAAACATAGGAACAAGTGTAAACCAATCAATTCCTCAAGGCTATTTCATCATTCAATGAGATCGTGGCTGATCTGTGGCTGAATAAGTTACAAATGCGTCTGGCTCAGATTCCTAAACGACATTGCTTTTCTGAAATCTAATTACCTCAGATTTAAAATGAAAACTAAAACTGATCTATCATCAATTGCTATTTGCCATTGTGGAACGGAGTTCCAAATAATTGCCACCCTTTGCATGTAGAAGTGTGTTCTAATTGCTCTCCTGAACTGTCAGGCCCAATTTCCCAGACTATGCCCTATGCCAAAACAAGACTTTGTGTCAAATGTAAACGTATAAATGGCAACAATCGCGTTGGAATATTTCTGTTCGACAAGTTTTTTGTAAGGAATATGAAAACGAGGAAATAAAAATGAAGCAACCTTGTTTTAAATGAAGAAGTTATTTCAGAAGAGGTCTTGTATGAGCGTTTTTGTTTTGCTGTTGATTCATTATTGCTGGAAAAACACTGTGAAGTCAATAGGTAGATAATGAAGTGCAATGTGAAGAGAAAAGTGATGGAGCATAGGAGGTTGAGAGGTGACCTGACAGAAGTTTATAAAATAATGAACAGTGTCGATCGAGTTGATGGCAGCTGTCCTTTCCCTAAGATTGGGAATTTCAAAACCAGGGGGCACATTTTTAAGGTGAGAGGAGAGAGATTTAAACAAAAATAAGAGACAAATCTTTTACATGGGGTGAGATTCGCCTGTGGAATGCACTTCCTGATGAAGTGATGGATACAGATGCAATTACAATGTTTAAAAGACAACTGGATGGATATAGGAATTTTAAAGGTTTGAAGGTATATGGACCAGGAGCAGGCAGGTAGGACTTGTTTAGCATGGACTGGTTGGATCAAAGGGTCTATTTCCATGCCACATGAATCTATTTCAGAATTGACCAGATAATTCGAAACATAAATGGCACGACATAATGAACTTGACTTCAGGAAACGCATGGAACAAAAATAATCTATTAACTCAACAGTTTATAGGATTAATGTTGAATTGCTGTTGTTTTCTCATATTATCATTTCCTGTGTGATGGACTTGATGAATATTTCACTGTGAGACTACTTTTCAGAATAATGTCTTTTCAGGCTGAATTTCTCAAAGTTACACAAGTGGCCCTTTTTGCCCAGTTAAGAAATAGACGAACATTTATGAAGGTAACTACTTAAATGAAATGATCATTCTCGTAAGACGGAATGGCGTTAGCAAAATAAGTTGTAGCTTAGCCTGCGTTAATAATTGTCAAAAAATTCAAGTCAATATTTGTAATCATTAATGACACGTTTCTGATGATAAGCCCATCCAAAGCTGAAGAAAATTTCAGTTTGTTCAATCTATCAACCTCCATTCCAATTTTATCCTTTTTGAAAAGCCCCTTACTTTGAACAACTTTCTGATCCTTATGCCATTCTATATTCTTGCCCTTCAAAATTGCAACTGACATCCAATATCACTCGTGACATCAAATATTTGATCAAGACATTTGATTACTCATTTATAGTCAAGAACACAACTATATCTTTGCTTCATGCTTGTGATGTTGATAATCAATGCAAAGGTTGCATTGTGCGGAGGAAGTCAATAATTGAAGAAGGCCACCAATTCTTATTGAGTTTCATGTATATTCTTTTCTGAACTGATGGCAACATTCCAGGCCAAGAGTAAATTTTGCTCTTTGCAGTTTGTGGGACAATGCTAGTGTATGGTGGCCCTTTGCATGAGGATAGCCAATGTGTCAGTAAATACGAAGGACTTGTCATTTCCTTTTCTAAGACGCTCAGTTTAATAATGATTAAAAACTCCCCAAAGTATTTCATGAGCTACAATAATTATTCTTAACTTATTTTGGACTTTGTTTACATTTTCCTTCATGCTCATTTCTTTTAGATTTTGTTTTTGCTTTCAATCTGAATGCATTGCACTTTTGTTCACATTTTAGGATGTAATTACATAATTACATATTTTTGCACATTCAATATTTTGATTTATTGAAAGATACTCGTTGCCTTATCATTTTATGTACTTGTCCGACTGATATTTCTGCATTAATTTAACCCGAATTAGTTCAAGCATTACAGATAGGAACGTTATAGAATCCCCATAGAATTATTTCTTCTGTTGGCATGCTCTATACCTTACCTGTCTATGTTTCTTACAGTTAATTTAGTGGCTATTGTGATCTTGTCCCGAAGACTCTGTGGTCTCTCCCGATGTATCACCTGGTATCTCGTGTCCATGGCTGTTACTGACCTCCTCGTCATTATTACTGCAGTAATAATAAACCGTGTCCCTGGTATATATTTTCCAGACAGTTATCTCTCTATTACACATGTGTGCAGTCTCAACATTGCCTTTATTCATGCTTCAAGGGACAGCTCTGTATGGCTAACAGTTGCTTTCACATTTGATCGATTTCTGGCCATTTGTGTCCAGAAGCTGAAAAGAAAGTATTTCACTGACAAAATCACAGCGGTGATTATAGGAATGGTTTCTACACTGGGATGCCTGAAAAGTGTTCCGTGGTATTTTGTTCATGAACCCATCTATATAATTAATAACATCCCTTGGTATTGCAAACTGAAAGATATCCGCTATACCTCACTTTGGTGGACAGTGTTTGATTGGTCTGATCGTATTTTAACTCCTTGCCTGTCGTTCTTCTTGATTTTTTCGCTGAATGTTCTGACAGTCAAGCATATATTACTATCCAATAGGGCCCGCAAAAGACTCCGGGTCCAGGATGGCACAGATGGTCGTAGTGACCCAGAGATGGAGAGTCGGAGAAAGTCCATTGTGTTACTTTTTGCTATTTCAGGTAGCTTCATGCTCTTATGGATGACATATGTTGCTCAGTTCTTTTATGACCGCTTTACAAATAATTATAAAGTTAAAGGCTTTAGTGACCCCAAGTTTATATTGCGAGAAATTGCAAACATGCTTCAGTTGCTGAGTTGCTGCACAAACACGTTTATTTATGTGGTGACACAGAGAAACTTTAGGGAACAGTTACAAAATATACTGTTGCGTCCCTTGAAATTAATTAAATAAAGTAATAGAAAGAGCTCCAACAATAGTTCAGTCTATTCTTAATAACTATTGCTGTTTGCCATTTCAGGATGAGTTTAAAGCTGTGGAAAGAATTAATGGAATTCTGAACATCTGCATGCATTCTAAGTTAGTAACTAGTGAATTTCCATCAGCAGAGGCTCAGGCATACCAATTAGTGGGCAGACAACTTGACAAGAATGTTGCAAGAGCTGTATATTTCTGCTTGAGATATCAATCTTGATGAAAGTCTGAAATCAAAGCATTCTTCAGATTATCGCATGTCTTTGTAGCAGACCATTCAAAGAACATGTTTATTTTCTCTGCTCGCAACAATGCATAGCCTTTCACTAAGCCTAGACTTAATCTGATAATTTTAAGAAAATTGATTTAACCCTGTGGTGTGTTCTCACATTGTAGGGTTCATTGTTCTGTGTCTGTTCGCAGTCTATCATTCTCTTGGCTGAGATCAGTTTAGAACATTGAAGTGCAATGGAAAGAAGTTCCATTGCTGTGGAGGCATCTTTTCTTTCCCTCGTTGAAGTAAAAGTAAGATACCCCATGTGCCTTGGATTAAAAGAGCGTATTAGTCACAGGAATAGGTGCAGCATGAATGCATTAAGCCTGGAGAAGCAGGCTTAATTTTGTGTTGCAATGCGTAAGGGTTGATGCTAAAATTGTTTTAGGTTGATTAAGCATACTAGTGAAACACAAAGAGATGTTCAGATTTTGTGCAAAATAGGTACATAGGAACATGACTAAGTCTTTCATCACTTTGAGCTTCTCCAATATACTAGATCATGACTAATTACAATTAATATGTAGTTTGTCGCATTATACTTATATCCTTTAATGGAATTAATTTGTAGAACTATATCTAGCTATTTCATGAACAGACCCAAGGCACTCTAGGGTACATAATTAGAAATAATTAATTATTTCATATTGTATACGTGCCCCTCTGACTCATTTTAAAGTTACTTCTCCCATATTTGTTGAACTCTGGTTATAGAGTTCACATTTCACTGTTCCCAATGTGACAAACCATAATTCTGCCCTGGATGGTTGTTTCTGAAGTATAACACTTGAGTTTAAGCAAGAATTGGGGTGGCACGGTGGCTCAGTGGCTCAGTGGTTAGCATTGCTGCCTCAGAACACCAAAGGCACGTGCTCAATTCCATCCTCGGATGACTGTGTGGAGTTTGCATGTTTTCTCCATGTCTGCGTCGGTTTCGTCCAGCTGCTCCAGTTTCCTCCCTCAGTCCAAAAATTTGCAGTTAGTTGGATTGGCCATTCTAAATTGCCCATAGTGTTCAGGGGTATGTTGGTTAGCTATGTTATAAGGCAATGGGGCTGTGAGGGAAGCTGTGGACTTGTTGGGCCAAAGGGCTTGTTTCCACACTGTAGGGGTTCAATTAAAAAAGAATAGCTTTCAATTTTCTGAACTCTGACTTTTTTTTATTTGCTCATTGACCAGTTGTAGGCTAGCCTATCGAAGCTGATCGATATTTGCGGCACTCTTTAAAACTTTTGTCTTTATAGGGTGGGTCAAACATTCAGTGAACTGAATTGATTTGGATATATTTCAGTGTATAGAATTGGTGGTACACAACAGTTATGTTTTCACAACGTAAAGTTTACGGTCTCTGCTAATTGTTTGTGTTGTGTGGTGTTGTGTGGTGGTGCCAGAGAGTCATAGAGTCCAACAGCACAGAGACAGGCCTTTTGGCCCAAACTGGTCCATGCCGACCAAAATGTCCATCCACGCTAACCCCGTTTCCATGCACTTGGCCCATATCTTTCTAAACCTTTCCTATGTACGTACTCACCGAAATGCCTTTTAAATGTAAACGGTGTGTTGTGTTGTGATTAATACAATATGAGACAGGGCGACAATATGAACTGCCTCAGACTCACACAGTGTGGAAATGAGCAATCATTTCTGTGTGTTATATATATATATAGGGATTTATATAATGACATAATGAGAACGCAGGGTAGCATGCATTGTTTAAAGTAATGCAATATCAAAAATTAAGAACAATGCATTGCGAAGTAACTTGGCCTGTAACGAGTAAAGTAATGAGACAAAGAGTAAAGAGAATTGACAGCGTGAATTGTTCTGGTGGATATAGGGCTATAGTGAAAGGCGTAAGTTGGTGGCGACCACGATTTCTTTTTCTATGCATTAGTGCAGCACTACGCTTTAAGGGATTAACAAACCTGAAACAACGTTAATTTGTAGAATTATGACTACTTTCTTCAAAATGCCACTAATTATGGAACAGTATATCGGGAAAAGTAAAGTGTTGTTGAACATCATGAAACTGACCTGTGTTAACCTGCTGTTGAGAACGAGTTGAAAGGCCCTTGAGGACCGGTGAGTTCCTAATGTTGTTCCTCTGTTCAACATTATATAATCCAGGATAATCCAGTAAATTAGAGACCAGTGATCTTACATCGCAGCATCAGAAAAGATGGTAGAATTGGGCACGTTGGCGACATTTAAGAGGCAACCGGATGGTTACATGAATAGGAAGGGAATAGAGGAATATGCCATGTAAGAGCAGAAAGATTTTTTTTACATTAGTTAGGAGATGATGATCAGCACAGGCTTGCAGGGCCTAAGGGCCTGTTCCTGTGCTCTACTTCCCTTTTGTTCTCTTTTGTTCTTTATATGGCTTTAAGACCAGCTAGTAGAAGAAGCAAAAGGAAAGTTATATATCTAAATGAAAGTATTGTACAGTCGGTATTCTGGGAAAGAAGACTTTGAAATGAACGGCAGAGGGAAAGCTCACAAACAACTAGTGAGGCAAGTTCACATTTAGTGTCACAGAAAAGAGGGAATAAACCACTCGAGATAGGAACAAGCCTAATCCGGTCGGCCCCCGAAGCATACTCCATGATTCAATAGGATCATAGCTGTTTTGACATTCCTCCCTTTACCATTGAATCCCCTTGTGATCAAGAATGTATCTATCACAAAATTAAAGATATACAATGACTCTGCCCACAGTTCTCTGTGGCTAATAGTTCCGATGTATCACAAACCTGTTGAAGAAATTCCTAGGATCATAAAGTCCCTACAGTGTGGTGGAAAGGCATTCGGACCCTCGTGTCCACGCCAACATCTCCGAAAGCTTCCCACCCAAATTCAGCCTACCCTGTCCCGCTAACTGTGCAGTTCACATGGCTAACACACCTCGTCTACACATACCTGGACACTCTGGGCAAATTAACATGGCCAATCCACTTAATCTGCATATCTTTGGACTGTGGGAGAACACCGGAGCATCCAGAAGAAACCCACACAAACATGGGGAAAATGTGAACACTCCACACAGAGAGTCGCCCAAGGTTGGTTTCGAAACCAGGTCTCTAGCAACATGAGGAAGCAGTCTCAGCGACTGACCAACAAAACCGCCCCAAATTCCTTCTTATCTCAATTTTAAATTATCGTTCCTTAATCCTGAATATACACCCTCTGGTCTTAATTCACCCGTGATGGAAAAATCCTCTAAGCATTGACCGTATCAAACCACCTAAGAATCCTAGAGAATTTTTTTTTTTGATTTTTTTTGATTTTTTCTGAAGGAGGGTCCAAACCCGAAACGTCAGCTTTCCTGCTCCTCTGATGCTGCTTGGCCTGCTGTGTTCATCCAGCTCTACACCTTGTGATCTCAGATTCTCTAGCATCGGCAGTTCCTACTGTCTCCACCTAAGAATCCTACTTGCTTCAGTAAGATCACCTCTCATTATTCTGAATTCCAATGAGTCCGATCCCAACCTGTTTAACATTTGTTCATAAGACAACCCTTCCAGGAACCGTCCAAGTGACCCTTCTCTGAATTCCATTAAATGGAATAACATCTTCCCTTAAACAGGGGACTAAAACTGCTCAAGCTACTCCAGATGTGGTCTCGCCAACATCTTGCAAATTTGCAGTAAAACTTCTCTACTTGTATACTCTACCCTTTGAAATAAGGGTTAACATTCCATTAGCTTTCTTGGTTACCTGCTGTACCTTTGTGATTGTTTTTTTTTTGCATAAGTACCATAACTCCGTTTGCGTTACAACTTTCCACAGTATCTCTAAATTTAAATAACACATCTTTCTTTTTCAATTGCTTCGAAAATGAACTACTTCATGTTATCCCACATTATACTTCACTTGTAAACATTTTTGCCCACCTACTAAACCTATTAATAAATCCGAATAGATTCCACCCGAAGCTGATTTGATCCCCTCAACGGAAGTGACAAAAAAATCCCTGTTTCCAAGCTTAGGCAATGGAGAGGAACAGAATCCGAACTTTAGCAATGATTTAACAAATTTCAGAAATGTTTATTCTGTGGATAGTAAAACATAACGTAGAAACACATTTACATTACAAACTCAACGGAAATCTTCTAAGCAAAAAGAAATCAATCGTGAGCAAAAATTTTGTCAGCAAGATGGATAATCAAATCACACGCAGAGAAGTTAGAGATTTTTTGTGGTTACCGTGGAAATCACTATTAATAACTAAGAAATGTTATCCAAATTTTAAGGCAGTGATCATTGATACAAAGACAATAAATCGATGAACAACAATTTTTCTTAAAGCCAATAATTCATTGTGTGTCTTTTGGTGATGTCATGTTGAGAAATTTGCCAGTTCTTTGGGAAATACTGCAGCTACCTTGGAATGATCATCATCAACAAGACATAATCTAATCATCACAGATTAACAATTGATGGTGTTAACTTCACTGGATACACACATAACGATCATCTCTGGGGTTAACATTTCAATAATCAGAACTGGACTGGCCAGATAGATGCGATGGTAGATCAGCAGGTCAGGTGCTAGGAGTACTGCAGCGAAAAACTCATATCTTGAACCACCAATGTATTTTTATCATCTATAAATCAAAAATCATGAGCTTCATAAAGCATGATCATAAGATCTATGGAAGACATCAGGTGTGTGATGAAATGCTCCCCACCTCTCAGCTGAACT